AGCCTAACCCACGTTACTCTGGGTAGAGTGAGTTAATTCGACTGCTTTTCTATCAGAAAATTACGATCTTGACCACATATAGGCTAACCTACCTCAACCCTAATATACCTCATCCCCACAAACTATTTCAACCCTTATAGACCACCCCTAATGACCCCGAAGCAGCCTAACCCACGTAACTCTGGGTAGAGCTAGTTATAGTATTTTCTTGTGTTCAAAAAAATAAATTTGTTGATTTCAAATAGTTTATAACATTCTCACCATAATTACTTTAATCTCCACATGATATTCAACCGTTAAAAACCACTCTTACCAACGCCCAAATCGGCTAACCTATCTAACTATTTTTTTAACCTACGTTTATCGTTATCCAGGAACAACGACGAGGATGTAGTAGGTGTCTGTTCCCTTTGGGGTGCTTAACTATCGCGAGTCCTCTTGTCTCTCATGTCAGGGTGCTGGATTATCGTGAGTCCCCTTGCCTCTTACGTCGGGGTGCTTGATTATCGTGAGTCCCTTTGCTTCTTACGTCGGGGTGCTTGATCATCGTAAGTCCCTTTGTCTCCCACGTTTTACAGCCCTTACAAACGTTATTGTATGAATGGATGCCATCTATTATGCAAGTTTATTACAATAGTGAGGTGAGTTTTCTTCATTAATAGCAATAAAATGCTGCATTTTCAAATTTATCGAACACCAAGCTCATTTAATAATCGAAAATTGGCTGTACAGTGTAAATTCTTCATCAATATTCTGAAAGCGGTATTGTATAGGAGTTTGACATGTATCCGGTTTTTCTGTTACGTAGTCACATGTCCACCATACGTGTTGAAACATGTTTATAAATCTAGGTGCTGAAAACTGATAGTGTGTTAATGACTATAATTTTAAAATATTTTTTCGCAAATGCTGATTTATTTTGATATCGTTCAATAATACTATATTAGAAAAGCATTTTACAAAATTTTTCCACGGTCTAAAGCCATACACGTCTAACGGTTGAATCATACCAGTTGTTCCAGCGGGTTTAGTATGTATTTGAACAGTTTCATTTCCTTTATCTGTCTTTTCAAATACTTTTTCGGTTTGTCCTGACCAAGAATCCAATAACAGTGAAGAATTTTTACCAGTAATAGATAAAACTACTTGTTCAAACCATTTTGCGGCAATTTGAGATGGTAATTTACTAGAATTGGAAGGGCAAATAAAAATATTATTTGCTCTATACATATTTTTTTAACGATTGGTCCAAATTGGCCATAAGTGTCTTGCAAGACTATTAGTAAGAGAGAATGTAGTTTACCATCAGCTGAAACAATTGGTTGTACCGTATAACTATGGATTAACGAGTTAATTGATTGAGCAAGTATTCTACTTTTAGTGACCCCTTGACAACTTTGGGCCAGCATAAGCTTCTAAATTGAATCCCGATTGATCAGAGTTATGAACATTTTCTGCATTTTTGCTAATTTTTTCTACGAATTTCGAAGCTGACTTTGACAATTCAGAAATATTTGTCAATTGCGCAGCAGTGACAAACTTATTGATTTTTCTAGAGACTATTCCATGCTTCACTTTAAAGTTATGTATCCATTTTGATGAAGCCTTAAACGATTGAGAGGATAACTGTGCAATTTGTCTAGCTTCGAGTCCCCACTTTTTTAAATCTGCGTCGTAAATTGGTAAACATTTATTAGAATCGCTATCCAATCCATCTCAAATGTACTTAAAAGTTTTCATTAGTTTTTCTGACTTTGATCCTTTTGTTTCAATTTGTTGTTCCCATCTGTACAGCAGTTTTCGATGTTTGACTTTTACAAATTTACTTTGCACAGATTCAAGGCTTCTTCTTTTTTTCTTACCTGAACGCCCCTAAGTGACCACTTTTATCTTATAATCCAAGTCTATACCATTTTTTGATAACATATTTGTATCATTTTCATCAGGATCATAAGATTCTTCACCTACCTGAGGATCATCATCAACTTCTACTGCTTCAGCCGTGACGCTTTCTTCATTATAGGATAAAGTCTCATTAGTCTCGATAAGTAGTGAGAAATCGGAACATGTCTTTATAATATCTGCTAGATTAAAAGCAAAAGATCGTTCTTCAGAGTTTTTCTTGATTTGATATTGTATTCAGAGCCATCAAAGGCAGAATGTATCACAGTTAAAATTTTTTTTGGATTCATCAGCATTACGAATTTATAAATTATCGTTTTAATAAAAAACAAGCTTTTATTACTACTATTTTAAAATTTAACTTTTGATTTGGGAATGGAAAAAAATTAGTGAAAAATATAATATGAAGATGAGCAAGCTTAATCAATGACTTTTATTTTAAACATTATTGATGTATGCGAATGCAAATGATGAACATTCTTTAAGTATAAATACGTTTAAGCATGAATTTAGTCAAAATAAAACCTTTTTTGAAGAGCTTTTTTTTATTACGTAAAAAATTAGCAGGGTATCTCATTATGTTTCAACGACCATGTTATAAGAGTGCCAGAATAGATACAAAATTTTATAATTTATTTATTTGCATTAAACTCATTGTGAACTACCAGTTTTATGTTCATTTAATAATTAGTTTACTTACTATTAGAATAAGAGTTGGTTAGAGGATTGTAAAAGATAGAGCTGTTCTATACTAGGGTTAGTATTGATGACGGTAAGAATATTCAGTTGGTTTGGGAGAGCGTAAAAAAGATAAAATTCGTTAGTTGATTTAGATGGGCAATATATAATAGGTGAGTTGGTTGAGAAAAAGGGTAGATATAGGATAAAATGATTGTTTGCTAATATTAGAGCTATTAGATAGTTTGATTAATTTCCATAAGAGTAGTGCTGTTTAAATAGAAAGTATTTAAATTGGACTAATTCAGTGGTCTGTAATCAGTGTGGACAAAGTTCTTTATGCCGGGTTCAGCGCGGGGAACTAGCCGAAAAAAATTGTAAGGTTGCGAGAAAACGTTAGGAAAAAGCGAAAAAAAGTGAGAGAATAGGCTAAACACAAAAATTTTTACGGGTTTGCTAAAGGGAAAATAAAATCAAGAGACACAAAAAGCGAATTATTTTTTTCTTTTACTTTACTTAACTCTTCGAACAATTAGTTCACACGATTCTAAAATCAAAATCAATTAATTGACATATCTTGCACTATATAATTAAGATATCATTGGATTCCGCAACACATCATATCAAAGTATTACTTCTGCTGGGTGTCCCGAGACCCACACATTTTTTTTGTATGCTTAACACAATCTTTAAAAATAAAAATTGATAAATATGTATGTATATTGCAAATGAATTTACGAATATAGTTATTTATTGCATCAATAAGCAAATTGAAATAAAAGGGTGGGTGGGAATAACGAAAACCGATCATGTAAATGATTAATATGATGATCCTGCAAATGAAAGGGACTTCGTGCCACACGCGTGTCCTGTAATACAATCCACTCTATTTCAGAGATACTTTTTTACCCCTTCAGAGCTGATAGAGGATAGGTAAGAGGGTGAGATGAGATCAGCTTTTGTAAAAGTGATACGAAGATTTGGTTGATTAACGTACGATTGTGACAGTTAAGATAAAAGCGCTAAATTAGATTAGTTAAGTGGTCTTCATTAGAGTAAGACGTTGGCTTACAAGATTTAGGATTATAGGATTCTTTAAGATTTAGAAAACTATGTGAGCAGACTTGGGAGGGTGAGTTTAGATAATAAGTACACATAAATCTTCATTAAATTTTAAGAATATTAAGATTTCCGCTTTTATTGTCATGCAAAGGTAGTTTCTACCACTTACAAGTCAGTATGATGAGTTACTGTATGTAGAAGCGATAAAGAGGTATGGTCAATCAACATAAGATTGTAGTTAGGATGGGTTAAAGTAAATGCTAAAGTACGTAAGAGGCAAGAGGACTCACGACAATCTAGCACCCCAAAGGAAACAGACACCTACTCCGTCCTTGTCGTTCTTCCTGGATGACGCTAAACGTGGGTTAAAAAAATTATTAGATAGATTAGCCTATTTTGGCGTTGGTAAAAGTGGTTTTTAACAATTGAATATCTGGTGAGATAAAAAAGATTGTGGTAAGGGTGTTATAAACTGTTTAAAATCAATAAATTAATTTTTTTGTACATAAAGAAGTAATTAAACTAGCTCTAGCCAGAGTTACGTGGGTTAGGCTGCATAGGGGTTATTAGGGGTAGTTTATTAGGGTTGTGTCGGTTTGTAGGAATAATCTATATCAGGGTTAACATAGATTAGACTATTTGTGGTCAAGATCGTAATGTTTTGATTGAAAAGCAGTCGAATGAACTCATTTTACCCAGAGCTACGTAGGTTAGGCTGCTTAGGGGTTATTAGGGGTGGTTTATAAGGGTTGTAACGGTTTGCGGGGATGTGATATATTAGGTTTGAGGTAGGTTAGCCTATCTGTGGTCAAGATTGTTATGTTCTGATAGAAAAGCAGTCGAATAAACTCACTCTACCCATAGTTACGTGGATTAGCCACTTAGGGGTTTATTAGGGGTGGTTTCTATACCTAAAAAGTGGATTCCGAAAAAATAAAAAAATACGGGCTGAATATTTTTTAGTATTATATCAATGTGCAAAGTTTTATTCTGATCGGTGCGTGACAGTTGGGTAGGGTTGTTGTAGAAGAGAAATTCTTTAATAATTATTTATTAATCCTTAGTTCTAAAGAATAGTACGAAAAAAATATTTACAAAATAAAAATTTGTGTGAACACGATTACCACGTTTTTATACTGCTAAAATCTCTGAAAAAATCTCTCACTGTTAGCATGGAATAGAAATGTTTGATAAAGTAAGTTTTTTTTTGTAACATATATTAAAACCTTTTGATTAATGTATGCATTTGCTTGACGCTTTATTTTATAAAGGTATTTACTAAAAGCACTGTCTTAAAGATATTTTTTGTACATGTTTCGCAAGAGTATCTATACTCATATATTGCACGCAATTTTTAGGTACATTAAGTAAAGGTTCCAAAGAGTATCGGACACCTCCTGCCGTGGCTCCTCCTCAAGTACCGAGCCATTATGCACCTAACTACCCTTTAGGGCATCCTAGAAGAGAAAGAGGCCCTGGATATAGCACACTTCCAGTACATACACATACAACTCAGCAATCTTGTTCAATGCATAACCACATAATACCAGCTCCGCAAATTGGAACGGTTTATCCTTTGCAAAGTTCTATTCAGGCATCATCAACATTATCTAGTAACAACTCTGTTATATCTGGAATGACATGTAATCTGGATCATAATGTCAATATGCCTGGTAAGTTTTTTACAGAAAAATCTTTTAAAGTCAATTACATAATATTTTTATGAAATTTATCAAGATACTTTGCTAGTGCATAAACGGATTTATAACTAAATTTGAAAAAGAGTTTCCAAACGTGAATATTGCAGGGCTATGATAGAAATCAGGAAAAAACCTACATAACATTTATTGTTTGTTTTGGGATATTAAACGTATATTTAAAGTTTCGATGCATATCTAACAACTTAAAGATCTAGTTCAAACAGAATTAAAATAACTTTTAACATAACAGCGTTAATAAGCATTGTTTCATTTTGACCCCTAGGAGCGTCTTAACAAAGATCTGCTTTACGTTGTGTTGTCTTTGTATGATTTATTTTTTACTTCATTCTGTGTAATTTGTATACAAGATCGAAGACAGACCACCAGAAATATTTGAGGAACGGAGAAAGTTCTGCAATACAACGCTGCAGCGAAAAGCTTTGCCCTTACTTACATAGAGCTGGTTTCTATAATAATGAAACCCCCTCTGAGGCATACCGCGATCCATATGATGTGTTGTTAGTGGTAAAGAATATTGGCTTACCTGGAAAGGTATTCATTTTGATAAAAAAATTATTACTAAGCTGATATCTGCGTGAAAAACTCGTACTAGAATTGAAATAATATTACTAATTATTTACCGGGATAACAAAAGACCTCCGCTTAGTAAACCAATAGATAAAATTAATGCTGTATTTCTTTGAAATTTTTCCTCTGGTTCTAGAATGAACATGAAAAAATGTATAGGACTACACTCAGCTGTTTCTTAACTGTTACTACATTTACTGGACTTATTCTTGCTTTTATTTATTCATTTAGTTCGTCTAAAAAGTTTGAGGTATGAGCGAATAACGTTTTCTTGTAAAATTTTCACCGAAAATCCCTGTCTAATATATCAAAATTTGGTTTTTGGCTAATAAATCCGAAGTGATACTGCGTTTTTCTTTTTATTTCTCTCTTCACCAGATGCTTTAAGATGTTAAGTCAATTGTTTCTTTACAATATATTTAGTTAACATAACTACGTTTGCACAGTAAAAGCATGTGTTTTATCTTTATTTCTTTTACCAATTTCTTATTAACTATTGCAATTTTTAAACAGTTGAAGTATTTTTCTGTTGTTTCTCACCTTACTTTTTATGTACACTTACCTTTTATGTACAGTGGACCCATCGCTGTTGTTATTTAGTTTTCTGGTGTTCCTTCTTCTTTCTTGGTTTTAAAAATAATGTCAGCAAATCCATCATGTAAATATTTACTGTGGATTATATTACACTCTATACTTAAGAACGTATGTCAGCAAATTCTGCTGCTTATTATTTTTTAAACATCGTCAATTCTAGATTTTTAGCTTATGTTCATTCTAGTTTCTTCAGATATTTCTTTTTTTGTTTCATTCATTATAATCTTTGATTCACCTTGAAGCTGCTAAAGTTTGTGTTTTTCTCTAACCAATTTGTCTCTTTTTTATTTTTATTTTCAGTTTTATGAAATTTCCGTTAAACCTTTAATTTCCTTTCCTTAGTCTCTTTTTAAAAACCTTAAATCGCTGCCCTACCTTGTTTTACTCTTGCTGATTCTTCTGTAATATAATGACTTTCAAATCAGCTTTCAGTTTTATGTCGTTCTCACTAACAGTTTCGTGTGACACTGATATTATTATCATTTTCTCTGCCTTTTTATCGATTCTTGGCTGATTCTTTTCCCCTTTAATCTTTGTTCCGCTTGTTACTTCTGAGTTTAGTTGTATTTTTCCTTATATCTATCTTACTTTCATTTGTATGATCTTCATCTTCATCCAGTATAAATTTTATGCTTTACTTGTATCTTGCTTTTTATTGATAACGTCTATGACCTCATGTCTTTGTGTATGTATAGGTTATCCTCTATATCTCATGCACAGACATACCCAATAATAATGTCACAAATCTGACATGCTCTTCTTTTGCTACCTACTAATTATCCTATGTATTAGTATTGTCTAAATCTATTAGGTATATAACTACAGCACGTATGGTACGTTTATTACGTTTACTCACATGCAAATCTACTGCGTGTTAATTAAAGCGCCATCATACTTCAAGTCCTTTTGAGTATCTTATTAAAATTTCAGTATATTTATATTTTGCAAGAACTTACATACATTTACGTACCTCGTAGGTGAACTATTTGATTTCGTTAAATTAGTTAACTACTTTATTTAATTCTTTATTTAACAAAAACTAGGAACAGCTTTCTTTTACTTTCTTTCATTGGTTTATATCCTGCTGTGTTTCCTTAATCTTGTGCTTTGATGAAAAACGATAGTTTTCGTACTTAGTGGTGCCTGTTTCCAGGGCAAGTAATAGGCATGAGGGGCTCCTTGTGCTTGCTCTGATTGGATACGCACCAAGTGCAAACCCCATTTTTTCTACTGAGGACGCATTAAACGTTCAAATGTTAAAAAAATTTCCTGAAGTGGGAAATGGCTGTCTTCGTACCTTATAGCGCATGTCGTTAGGGCAAGCACCACACCCGAGGGACATGTGGAGCAGTGCCCAAGAGACTTCTTGTGCTGGCCCTGGTTGGATGCACACCAGATGCGAACCCTATTTTGTCTACTGAGGGTACACCTGACCTTCAAAAATACCCGAGGTAAAAAAATTTTACTTTTCATATATTCTGTATAAAAAACGTATTTTTACATATTGCCGTAAGCAGATTAAAGTATAAATTTAATATGAATTCAAGAGGTATATAAGCAATTTTAATACATTTATTATCGTATCAATTGGCACATTTGTAGATGGTGGTGTTTTTATATAAGCTCCCTTTACAACCATCCATGCCTTTTTTGATAAAAAATATACTAAAGACTCTGAAATAACATAATCTAAATATGTGTTAAAGTATAAAGATAATTTGTTAAAATAGATGCAATAGTACAAGGTTCATGTATAAATTTTTTTGTATTTAAGGTTCTCACCTCATCAGAGGTAAATATCCATAAAGAATCCCGCAGCAACTCAATGGACCTTTGATTTTCGGTGAAATTAGCTGAAATTAATGTATGTTGTAGATCATGATCTTCTAAACAAAAGTCTATACAGGAGCAAGTCCCGAAAATGGAGAGTTTTTGAGTAAATAATTGTTTAAGTCACCGATTCTGCAAAGGTTAGTTTGACAGGCTACTCAGTACAGTCAATGGATGTAGCTTACTCAATGTACCGAGATATGATCAGAAAGGATTAAGTCGAGTGTATCTACCATTCTTGACTATAAACAAGCGCAGTATAAAATTATTCTAGTTCAATTAATAGTAGCGTAGCTCATTTGCATTATTGTTTAATTTAGAAAATCGATAGCCTCTAGTACGAGAAAGCGCTTTTCGTATAATAAACCTATAGAAAAGTGGTTTTATTATTTTTTAACTATAACGGTCAGCCAAAAGTACTCAATCAGGTTCATTATTATAAGTCGTCAAAACTATTCTCATACAAATAGATAAGCTGACCCTACCTTTTCACATACAAATTTTTTAACGACTGTAAACATTATTATCACAATGAAAATCTATTTTGTCAGTTATTATAATTAGATAAACCATTTACTAATCATAAATAGTTTCGTTATTTCGTAAACTAATTATTTTATTTGTACTATTGTTGACGAATACAGCCAACTTAAAGCTCGACTCCACCACCACCTCCTGCGTTATGCTGAACTATTTCTTGTGGCAATGATTGCTGCTTCCCAGATACGAGATCAAGTTTTGCTGAGACAAATACTATTTCTAGCGACGTATCAAACTTGGTTCATACAACTTTTTTTTTCAAAGAATAATAAAAATATATCCATTTGAAAAATAACAAAGACATTGTTATTCTTCAAAAGACATTCATTTATGTTAGAATTAAAGTGATGTAATAAAAAATCATGTGATGTAACTTAATGTCAAATCCTGACTTCTATTGAACTATTCTAATTCATTTTCGTTGTTAACGGTTCAATATTATGCGGGGTATTTTTCTTATATGGGATACGGGATACGATGGAACCAGGAGCACAATGTATTAAATAATAAAAATACGAATTATTGTAATTCAATTCCAAAATATATTCAAAGCTCTTGTCTTATAAAATAGTTACAAACTTTGATCTCAACGCAAAGACCAATTTATCTAATTAATGAAAAAAGAAATGAGAACATAATAAAACATAACGCAGTTATCAAATACCATTCAAACCCAATTAATCGTTGATTTAAAATAAACTAATTAATATCCTTTTCTTGATTCGCACAACTCACTTTTTAGTGTCTTCAGATTAGATAACTTTTGAATAAACTAGCTTCGTAGCACATCAACGCTAATTCTCCTATCACAATGATTTAATATTTAACTAACGAAAAACGCCCTTTTTTATATGAGTCTTACACAATATTCACGATCGACGTGGCTCTAATATAAATAAATCATAATTTTAATTAGTTCAATGACGAACTTCAGACTTTCGTTTTTATTTTTGGGTTAATCACCATTGAACGCAAAATAATAATTGTAACTAATAACCGAAACCCCTTACACTCTATACTCTATTGGACTCAACAATATCTCAGATATAAAATAATAAAAACATAAGGAGTACAATCGTGGGCTCCTCGCAGAATCAACGGGATATATCGGCTAGCAACACGGGAGCACGGTATATAAAAACAACAGAAGAAATGAACTTCAAAAAGAAGGAGGTAGGCTAGTTAGTCAGCAAAGAGAGATGAGTACGCCTACGAAGCCACCGCAAGGGATTTATTGCTTCTGCGGCGAGGAATTATCGTAATGATAATTCGCGAACTCCTTTCAATTGCCTATTCAATAGCCCCCTTTTTACTCACGCAAACCGGGAAAAGAAAACAGACAGAGGCGAGGGGCTTGGGATGAAGAAGGCCTTGTCCCCGGAAAGGACCCAGAGAAGAAAGCCTGCGGTTGCTGAGCACCC